AATAGATTTATTCCTTGATGGTTCATGGGACATTAGTGGGAGGTGGTGGACAGTGGGTGGGGCCAGGATGGGCCACGGAAGGATGTCGTTTTCTTCTTTGCTCTTCCTGGAAGCTATAAGGTGAGCATCTCTAACATACCATGGCCTGTTTGTTCAAGGGTTGTTATCTTGCCTATAGCCAAATGCAATGGAGCCAGCCGACCATACATTGACACCTCCAAATCCGTGAAGCAAAATAAATCTTTCCTCCCTTACATGGAGTTTCTACCAACAATGGAAAGTCTAACTGAAGACAGAAATCTGAGCTTCAAAGTTCATGATGGACTTTAACACCCAGTGGTTAGACATAGAGCAAACCCTATGTAGAGACTAACATCGGACAGCCACTTCGAGTTGTAATCCCCTACAAGCTAAGAAAAAGACTCCAAAAGCCTTCAGCATCTCTGCTGCTGCCCTGACTCTGGAATTCTAGTTTCTAGAACTATGAGAAAATACTTTTCTTGTTTCTTGGCCTTTCAGTCTGTGGCGTCTTGTACCTGATACACTCAGTACTAGTGTGTGAGGGACAGGAAGGAAGTAATCCTGGCGAGATTAGAAGAATTTGATTCAGATGGGACCCAGAAATAATATGAAATGGGAAACTGGAGAGGGTTATATACCCATGCCTTTTAAAATGCCTCTCTCTCTCCCTCCCTCCTTCCCTTCTTTTTCTGTGTTTCTTCCTTTTATAAAAAATCTCATATTTTGTCTTAGTTATAGTGATAAAATTTACATATAGCAATAAAATTAACAAAATTTAAGTAACACTATTAATAATAAAATCCTTTGATACAGTTTTGAAAGAGAAGGAAAAGTAGGAGAGTGTCAGGTTATGTAACCCGGGTTTCCTAAGCCGGTCATTGTGACAAAGGTGCTCACTGACATCATCTGTAACTCCTGGTACACTGGGTTAGAGGGATAAAAAGAAGGCTCAACCTTCCTAGGCACTGTCTTAGAGGGAAAACCACACGTGGGATTCTTTTGGACTACAAAATGGTTCTTGCTACATCAATACACTGGAGGTCAAATTCATAGATGCAGTATAGGACGGGGAGGGGGAGGTCCTACACTCCATCCTTCCTCATTACCTAATATGGTTTCTCTCTCTCTCTCTCTCTCTCTCTCTCTCTCTCTCTCCCTCTCTCTCTCTCATTTCTGAGTTTAGGTCACCGTACTTAACATTATATTTTCCAGGCACATCCATTCGACTACAAGTCTCCTTTATCTCCTTTATTAGAAGAACTTGATTCACATAGAACTTGACTCTGAACAGTGTTCCACAGTGTCCATGCACCATTCGTTGTCCATTCTTCTGCTAATGGACACCCAGGCTACTTCTGTCTTCTTCTTATTCCAAACAGAGAAACAGTAAGCACGGGTGGGCTCATATCCGCGGTAGGATGTGGAGTCCTCTGCATCTACAGCCAGGAGTGAAATAGCTGGGGATAGGATAGTCCTGTCCCCTCCTCCCCAGGAGCCTCCAAGCTGATTTGCATAACGTCTGCACTGGTCCTTACTTTCAGCACCATGAATAAAGGGTCCTCCTTCCAAAGCCCTCTCTCGCATTTGTTGTCAGATTTCTTAGTAGCAGCATCTAACTAAGGTAAGAGGACATCTCAAAGTTGTCTTAATTTGCATAAGTAGGGATGCTGAACACTTTTTTTTTGTTTTGTTTTGTTTTTTGTTTTTTCAAGACAGGGTTTCTCTGTGTATCCCGGGCTGTCCTGGAACTCACTCTGTAGACCAGGCTGGCCTCGAACTCAGAAATCCGCCTGCCTCTTCCTCCCAAGTGCTGGGATTAAAGGCGTGCACCACCATTAAAAAATTGGTTACTGGCCATTTGTGTTTCTTTTGAGAACGGTCTATTCACCTCATTAGATAATTTGTAGACAGGCAGTTTGTTTCCTTGGTGTCTACTTCTCGCTGTATATTTGTGAATTCTGTTTATTATCCCTCTGTCTGAAGTAGAGCTGGTAAAGATTTTCTCCAATCCTGTGGGCTGTCTCTTTGCTCTGTTACAGTTTATTTGCTGTACAGAAACCTTTTTTCTTCATGGATTCCCACTGAATACTAACAATGAACTCCAAGAAAAAGAAATTAGGAAAAATATCTTATTCATAATTGCTCCAAAAAAATAAAGTAATAGGAATAAACTAAACTAAAGAAGGGAAAGACCTTGGCAATGAAAACTTCGAGACACTGAAAATATAAACCAGAGAAGATACCAGGCAATGGAAAGAACTTCCACGTCCCTAGATTGGTAAAATTAATTTTAATAAAATGGCTATATACCAAAATTAGCCTACAGATTTAATTGCAATACTCACTTAAATTCAGATATCATACTTCATAGAAGAAAACAGTACAGGTATTCCTATGGGTCCAGAAAAGATCTGGGATAGCCAAAACAATCTAAAGGGGAGATGGGTTCAGGCGTAAGAACAGTTAGAACAGAAAAGCAGAATCGAGGACATGAAAACAGGCTGATGAAGTAAGGGCATCTAATTTTTGGACAGAAGTGGCAAAGAAATGTGCTATGGGAAAAAAGACAGCACATTCAACAAATGATGCTGGCAAACTGGATTCCACCCCAGAACAGTGAAACTGGATTCATATCTTTCACCTTGCACAAAATTCAACTGAAATCTAATTAAATACCATCCATAATTTAAAACCCAAAACACTGGCATTGCCACGGGAAAACAGAGGGAACGCTCTTCAAGGTACTGCCAAGCATTTCTGATTAAAGCTCTAGTGATCAAGAACTAGTCCCAAGAATTGGCATGTGGGACTTCGACAACGTAAAAGTGTTTTGTTTTTTCTATCTTTCTTTTTTGAGATAGCACCTCAATATAGCCAAAGATAACACTGAACTCCTGGTCCTCCTGCCTCTGCCTCCTATGACTTAAGGAGTTTTTCCATGAAAAAAAGGAGAAAAATAAGACAGAAAATCAAATGTCTTAAAAGTTTTGTTTTTATTTATTTTCAGATGTTATGTGTACGAGTGTTTGCCTGCATGAATGTCTATGAACCACGTGTTTGGTGTTCACAGAGGCCAGAAGAGGGCATTGGATCCCCTGGAACTGGAAACACAGATAGGTTTGAGCCACCATGGATATCCTGAGAATTGAACCTGGGTTCTCTGGAAGAGCAGTCCTTGCTCTTAATGGCTAAGCTATTTTTTTTAGCCCCCTACAATTTTTTCTTCCTTCCTTCCTTCCTTCCTTCCTTCCTTCCTTCCTCCCTCCCTCCCTCCCTCCCTCCCTCCCTCCCTTTCTTTCCTTCCTTCTTTCTTTCTCTCTCTCTTTCCTTTTCTTGTTTGTTCTGCTGTCAATAAAAAACAAAAAACAAACAAACAGAAAAACAAAAACAGATGAAGGCAATACTAAGTTGCCATTGCTGAGTTTCCCTGGTTCTGCCAGACACTGGGTACAGAACTTATCATTGTTTCATTCAATTCCTATAGTAACAAGTAAACAACATATTGACACCATTTTGTAGATGAGAAAGTGGAAACAGGGAGAGAGGGCAGAGAAGGAGGATATCACCAAAGTCTTATAGCCAGTGAACAGATCAGGCACTGAAATTGAAGTGTGTGGCCTGAAAACAATGCTCTACTGGCAAGTTAGTCTAAGGTTTGGTCTTAGCTTTTCAGCATATTCAAAGCTTGAAAACCTATTACATTAAAACAGGAATTCTGTCCTCTGAAAGTGTCACCAAGACAAAGCAACAATTATAAAAATGCCATCTTTAAAGTGAAGAAATAGAGGGCTAATGGTTTGTTAAGGGAATGAACGTCCTGCTCACGTGTGGCTTGTTGTCCTTAAAGCTGGAGATGTTAAATTTGACATTTAACAATATCTTAGGCAAAAGGACTCATTACCCTGTCAACCTCCAAATTCACGTATCTTCTAGCATATATCATCCTGTCTGGTCACCAAGCCTTCTGTGGAACTGTCTATGTCATTTCCATAGTTATGGTCCTAGAGATGCTACTATCAGGCTAGTCTGAATGGCTGTAGTGCCTCCTGGTGGCTGGTCCTCACTTCCTTTCTTGTGCTACCTGTACCAATTCTTCACATAGAAGCACATTTTCAGAATGTTCTGTGTACTTGGTGCTCTGCATCATGGTGCTGAAGATACAATAACTGCCTGTTAATCAGCAGTTTAAAAAGGATACAGTGCTGAACTATAATTCTTGAAAAATATGAAATAGTGGGGAGTGGTGGCTTGAATATATTTGGCCCAGGGAGTGGCACTATTAGGAGGTGTGGACTTGTAGGAGTAGGTGTGACCTTGGAGGAAGTTTATCACTGTGGGTGTGGGCTTTGAGACTCTCCTCCTAGAAGCCAGTCTTCTATTTGCCTTCAGAACAAGATGTAGAACTCTCAGCTCCTCTAGCACCATGCCTGCATGAATGTGGCCATGCTTCTGCTTTGATGATACTGGACTTCACCTCAGAATCTGTAAGCCAGCCCCAATAAAATGTCGTCCTTTATAAGACTTGCCTTGGGTATGGTGTCTGTTTACAGCAATGGAAACCCTAAGTAAGACATGGGGCATGTTGGGAGGGCCTGGAAGGAGCTAAAAAGAGGAAATGGATGTTGGTATGATCATAATACATTGTTTCTGGAAGGTAGCATTCTCTTAAGCTACTGTTGCCAACACAAACTGTGTGCAGCCTGTGGAACCAGTAACCCCAGTGGCTCTGCAAATCACAGTTTCCACTTTCTAGAGTTGTCCTGACAGGAATCTGGAAACCACAGTACATTCATTTGACCTTACTCACTTCCCCCTCTCTGAGGCCCAGTGCTATCCACTGATTTCTTAAGTGCAATTTTGAACTCTCCTGGGAACTGATTTTCTTTTCCATTTTTAATTGTTGATCTTCAATAATGAAATATTTTACACTAGTCACATTTTCCCCTTTTATCTAAAATGCCAATCCCTTTGAGGTTTACCTTGCAGCATGACCAAAGACTGCCGAAGTCGGCTGTTCTCCTTTCTGATGCTTCTCAGTTTTTCCTTCAGGCTTTCGATTTTGTTACAAAGTTCCTCCTTGGACAGTTCCTCTAAGGGTGTTTCCTCATCGCTGGAACTCTCGCCAGGCAGGAAGGCATTTCCTGAATATGGATCTCTCTAAAACACAAAGCAGGGACAACAAAAGACGCTTTGCAGTTCCTTTAACAGCTACCCCATGTTCCGTATGCCAATACCACTTGATCAGACTGAGGCATGTCTGCCTCCACACGCAGCTGCTGCAATGCGTGGTCCCAGCTTTGTCCTCCACCCTCCAGAACTCAGGACAGGACACACGAAAAGGTTCATGTCCCTTTTTCAAACAGAAGACAGGAGTCTGATTTTCTACCTAAGTGGTGAAAAGCAGAATACTGTATAGCACAGTAGACTTAGCAAGGCCATTGTTAAAACCTGGGCTCCTCTGAGATGGAGCCTGTCTCATGCCAAGTACTTCAAAATTTGAATCTTACTCTGTGTTAGCATGCTAGGCATGGTGACACATGTCTCTAATCGTGTCTCTAATCCCAGGGCTTTGTCAGTAGAGATAGGAGGCTAGCCTGAGACACATAGGGAGTTCCCAGGTCAGTCTGGACTAGACAGAAACAACAACCTTGCCCTTTTTTTTTTTTTTTAAGCTTAGCAAGCTCCCAGCAAATTCTTGCTCTGCACATCAGCTACCATTAACAAAGACACTACATATCGTAAGGACAGTAGTCACACATAGGAACAAGAAGAGGGTGGCAGCTAAAATAGAGTCACGGGAGGTCTCTTAGTGTGCTGGCACTGATGTAATTTTCTAATGGTATATTCATTGGTGGTAATGCATGAAAACACACTTTCGATATCTGCGTTCTTCTGTATGCATTTCGTGTTTTCATAAAATGTTCTTTTTAATTCTTCAGTAAATAGAAGCAAGGAATGGAGCTGAAAGGAAGGGCACTTGCTGAACATGCATAAGACCCTGCTGTCATCTCCAGCCTACAAGGAAAATGTCCAACAAGTACATGCCTATAGAACGTGTTGACTTTTTTCCAATCTTAGAATCTAAGTCTTTTATCTTTATGCTTGTATCTTGTTTTGAGACTAGATAGAACTAATGAATAGTCAAAAGTGTTCAAACTCTTTATGAGGAAAAGAAAAAGCCTTTCCTGAACCTTCAGTGTGGAAGGAAAAGTTCAGAGATAAAAAGCTATAAGTAAAGCCGGGTGGTGGTGGCGCACGCCTTTAATCCCAGCACTTGGGAGGCAGAGGCAGGCGGATTTCTGAGTTCGAGGCCAGCCTGGTCTACAGAGTGAGTTCCAGGACAGCCCGGGATACACAGAGAAACCCTGCCTCGAAAAACAAAAACAAAAACAAAAACAAAACAAAAAAAAGCGATAAGTAAAAAATACCGGTTATCCTCAAATTGAACTATATTAAGTCAATGCAATTCTAATACACATTTGAAACTGACTACAAATTTGTATGCATAAGAGCCAGGAATAGCCAAAGAATTCTTAAAGAATTATCAGAAATTGAGACTTCCTCCATAAATTCAAGGTGTTATTAAAAATTCAGAATAATTCAGTTTGGTGCTGACACAGAGACAGTCAATATTACCAAGAAATAGAGGTTTTAAAACCTGGATGCCTGAGGGGCTGTGATGTGGAACAGAGAGGTCTGGTAGCTCAGCAGGGATGTGAGGTCTGCCCAACCAAGGCCTCAGGGATGCTGGCTCACTGGAACTTGGAAAAACAGACGGAATGGATCCCTATGTCATTATAAACACATATGCATGGACCACCACTCTGAAACACAGAGATTTATACACACATACACCCACATGTAGATGTTTCCATATGGATACACATATACATGCATACACCCCCACACAGACTGCATACAAATCCCTGCAGATGCATTAAGAATTTATACATCAAAAGCAAAATGCAAAAACTGTACAAGAAATATAAATGCATGTTTTCTCAACTTGGGTGGGAATTTCCTAGATATAAAATAACTGCTCACAGTATTTTAAAAAAATTAAAATGAAGAACTTTTATTCATAAGACAGATTATACAAGAAAAAAAAAAAGACCATAAGAGCCAATGGGAAATATCTGCAGTGTGTTTACCAAAATACTAACTCAATGGAAAAATGAGTAAATGATATAAAAGATGTATTTTACAGAACATATATAGAGAATGTATATGGCTCATCAGTAGACACAGAGATATTCAACCTCATCAGTGAACAGTCACAGAGAGAAGGTCAAAATCACCAACAATTACCATTTGGGCAAAGCCCAAGGAATCTGACAAAACTAAACAGGGTGGGCATGGACCACTGCGCTTCTCCATATGTTGGTGTATGAAGAGAACTTGGTACCCTACTTTGGAAAGCACTGTAATATTATCCTATGAAGTTTGACACTTATCTCCCCTTGCTCTTGCAAATGATCCCCAAGGCAGTGTGTGCACACAAGGAAACAAACCCAAGACTTTCAATTGAAGCAGAATCCATAACAGTGAGAATCCAAAGACAATCCAAGTGTCTACTGTAAGGATGGGGCAACTTGTACTGAACTCAGATGGTAGGATTTACACAGCACCGCACGGTGGATAAATAAGAGCCATGCAGAATCAATGTCGATACAATGTTAAGTGCATAAAGCACGTTCCAGAGGTAAATATACAATGCATCATTTGTATATTTACAAGGTGAAGAAACCAGTGCAGTAGCACACTCCTGTGCCAGCTCCTTCTGAAGCTGAGGGAGGAGGATCACTTGATTCTAGAAACATGGCAACTCTAAACAACATAGTGAAAGCCCTCCCAAGTGAGAGACAGAAATGAGAAATTGAAATGATTGATAAATTATTTAGAAACATGTATTATAAATAATATATAATCTATGATATGTAACATGTATTTATGTATGTCTTATGTAATATATGTTTACGTATGTCTGTGCTTTGTTTTTTCAAAAAGCTGGCTAGGGACATAGTTCAGTGGCGAAGCAGTTTCTTGGCATGTTCAAGGCATAAACCCTGTGGTGGGGAGGGAAGAGACCGAGTATAGAAAGGCAAGGCTGCATACGACTGCATCTGCAGCAGACAGATGGAGGGCTATCTTGAGGATAGGAAGTGGTTTTATTGGAGTTTATTTCTTCTTAACTAAACATATGAAGAAAAAAATGTTCCCCAGTCTCCCTGTCCACAGTGCAGTGTCTCTTTCCTTTGTGTGCCTCAGAAGGCTTCTTCCTTCTCTATTCCCAAGCTTCTTTTCCCGAGCATACACTCTAGGTACTCTGGATCTGGTATTTATAAATCTCATACTATGTTGCACACAGTGAGCACTTTACCGTCTCGATTACTGTGGGGGCAGAAAAGGCTTTTCTTTGCCTGTAGCTCATTCTTATTCTTTCCCTCTCTGTGGTTTCTGTTCATGGTTTCTCTCTTGAGATTGTCACAGAGCTAATTCTGTGGTTTATTGTCTCAGAGGAAAGAAGGAACAGAGTCACCCAAAAAAGAAGCTCATGTTCATCTTTTAGTTTTAGAAACAGTTTTCGAGGTCAAAAAGTGAGACTATAATTTAAAATGTCTCAAACTATGATGGGATTAAAAAAACCACTGGAAGTGGTATGCATATATATGTATATATTAATATATATATATATTTGTGTGTGTGTGTGTGTATATATATATATATATATATATATATATATATATATATATGCACACACATTTATATATACACATGTATATACACACAAATACCCATACACACATATATTAGAACCAGCATGTGTGTGTGTATCTGTACATATCACTGGAAAATTTCAGTGTAAAGTGGCTTATGTAAAGACCAAATTCAGATGCATGAAGGTTCTTCAAAAATTAACCTGAGAGTAGAAGAGAGAAAGGCACAGGGAAATCTCATGCTATGAGACATTCTGGTGCTTAGAGGAGGAGTGGAGAATAAAGATCAGGAATATCAGAAAATAAGAGTCAAATGTCTGCATTCCTCCTTCACTGGATCCTTTAGAAGAAATGATAGATTTCAGGAATGGAGACCTAGGAGGTAAACATCCACATAAGAGAGGGACAACAGAACAGCAAATTAACTCCTTGCTTGTCATCTCTGTGTTCTAATGTCTCTGAAGAGGCCCTGGGTCCGGCATGACCTCAGGGCAGCATGTTGCCTCTTTGGGCCATAGATCAGAGACAGTTAAACTGATGTTTGGACAAACGGTTGAAAACTAGCATCTAGACTCTCTAGAGCTTAAGCAAAGCAGCTAGAAAACCCAAATGGTCTTCATGTCGAAGTCAAGAGACAGGCAAGTGTTTGGGGAACTGATAAAGCAAGAGAATACACAATGTGTTAGAGCCTTGTGGAAGATGGAGCCAACAGAATCTCCAAAGGGCCTTGAAGAATGGGCTCTTCAGCAAAGGTAATGGATACTTAGGTACCAGACAGGAACATCAAGAACTTTGGTAGAAGAGATATAGCCATCTCCAAATGTTGAGATGATACGCAAGCTTGTGTGTATTTCACTATATATGTGAGTTTGTAGGGATATGAATGCCATACCTACAAATGTCATGAAAATCACCATAGCTAGTATACTCTCATTATATGTCCAAGTCTTAGGGGGGAAATGACGTGCTTGAGTAAATATAAATGGACGGTATTTTGAAATCTGAAAGATGCCTGTTCAGACAAGAATCCCTTGGGTAATAATTGGCCTTATTCTAGCTTTCAAATGTTAGAAAGCTCATTTAAGAAAGAAAGAAATTCAGGCAAGGTCACCAGAGGAAGGAGGAAAGGGAGGAAGAAAGAAAGGAAGGGAGGGACGGAGGGAGGAAGGGGGCCAGGGAGGGAAGAAGGGGAGTTATTAGCAGGTGTTGGGCACAGAGACAAAGCTGAGGAAGAGGGGTCAACTGTGTGAGTGGGCCCTCATCACTGTGACTTCCATGGAACTGCAGACGGAAGCACGTGAGCGGGAGACCGATTTCTACCTCACATAAGCTACTGTGCACTATTCGGATCTTTGCAGTAAACCTCACAAAAGTCTAAAATGTGGTGCACAGAAGCGGGGATACCTAAAACAGGACACCTGTTTATACTCGTGTGGGCCCCAAAGGCATAGAGTGGTGTGGGGAAAAGCCACTGACTTCTCTTAGCTATCAGTGAGACATTAGGTAAAATTGTCACCTAGAGTGCCTAGGATGGTAGACCACACACCCAGGGATGCTGGAGAGACAATTTTGCTGCCTTTTAGTTGCTTTGTCAGTATCAGCAGTTTGCAAGAAGACATAAGAAAGCACTGAGTGCAAGGCGCAATTTAAATCAGCTGAGTCCCATAGTGTTCATCTTCCAGAGTTGAGAAACACTCCATTTTACTTCCCTAGGTCCGCAGAAGGTAGACGTTCATCTCGGTTTTCTCAAGAGCTTCCCTGTGTGATCTCTGATGATGATCCAGTCCAACGAGATGCTGTGTAGTCAAGGGATACCTTCAAGTGTTTGTTTCAAAAGGCCTTTAGGTGACTGCTATAAATTGGAGAGAAAAGAAGCTGAACCCAGATTCGATAATAAAAGAAGAGGTCGCTCAGTCCCAGGTCTTTGACCAAATCAAATCTCTGGCGGGACTGAACTGCAGTAGAAACCAACAGAATTATGTGGTTTGGAAGGCTATTACGATTTGGAGGACAGAAAATTGTCAAAGAAAGCACCACTGGACTCAGGAGCACGAGCTTTGTTTATTCCTGAGCAACTTCGAGCCCGCACTGGCAAGCTACAAGACATTTAATGAAAACCAGAAATATTGATATTAATAAGAAAGTATAAATGCAAAAAGGCCTGCACACTGCTTGTGGGCATGTTGACTGTGGGGGGACCTTCAGAAAATCATCTTATGTGGCAATGAAATGTAATCCCTTACATTCTCCAAGACTGAAACTTTTGCTGGACCTCACAGCCAGAGTTAATAATACATCTGGAGGTCACTGCTAGCCTACTGTCTGCTCAGCTTAAAACAAAAAAACAAAACAAAACACAACAAAAAATAAACCTCTTCCCTTTAATTGAACAATGTAACAGTCGATCTCACTTGCCTTGGATTTCCCTGTAATCTACCTTTACGACCTAAGCTAATGAGTAGCCTTTACCTTAAATGATGTGCTCCGCCATGCCTCTGACCCAGGGTGACGCATGTCTATCATCTGCTGAAGGCAGCCGATACAGAAGTTAAAAGCAACTTTGTAAAAGCTACCAGAAAAGTTAAAAACAGTTAAGAGCACCCATTTATTTATTATTGGTCTATAAATGATGACATTTGCAGAACTGCTTTTTGTCTAAGTCAGTTGGAGCCAGTGACTTAATCCCTTATAAAACTCTTTTGTTTTTGGTTTTGTTTTGGTTTTGGTTTTTGGTTTTTTGAGACAGGGTTTCACTGTGTAGCCCTGGCTGTCCTGGAACTCACTCTGTAGACCAGGCTGACCTCGAACTCAGAAATCCGCCTGCCTCTGCCTCCCAAGTGCTGGGATTAAAGGCGTGTGCTACCACTGCCCGGCCTTATAAAACTCTTAACCATTTCTATAAAGCATCCCATGTCTTTCCATGTGATGCTTTCTGTGCTGGTCAATAAATACAGACAAACCCTTTGCCAGAGACAGAGTCAAATCACAGCTATACACCAGACATACATAAACATGGAAAGTCACACACAGAGAAGACAGACATCCAAAGACAGAACAGACAGACACACAAGGACAGACACAGGGACAGATTCACAAGACTGCCTTCAGGCTGACACAGACTCATACAATATACAGCCAGGAGACCCAGGGAGCATGGAGTAGAGAGTTCAAATCTGGACTCTCTTGATTAAAAGCCTCGAAGGGAAACTACTGATGACTTACAGTTAATCACTAATGCATTTAATGCATGCAATCTTATAATGTCTAGTCAAATAAATAGAAACAAACAAGTGATTTCTAAACCACAAGTCATTCTCGTATGTATTTCATACAAATATAACCTGTGGAGTATAGTTCTATTAAATCAATGGATTTCAGCTCGAAAAATAACCAAAAGTGGATAGATTTTTCTATAAGCTGATGGTAATGTTGATTTGTTTCTCCACAGAATATGTTTATGTTTAATAATTTATATGCATCTCACAATATCAAGTCTTATGAATAATTTTGGAGAGTGTGATGCTTTTTGAAAAAAAATTCTGGAACAAATTAAGATTTCGTGTTTTACAAAGTGGGTCAGAGATGGGATTATGAGGGAGACGGTACTGCTTAAGGATGTGTGAATATGACATGCTACATGAATTATAAAACATGTACAAATGTGTGACTGTATAAAGACATGCAAATAAAAATACAGAATGAACATGTCGGTTAGTAAGCTTTTCAAAGCAAAGGATGGGAATGGGGTGGTGAGGACAGCCATAAGCTAAGTTCTAAAGAGAAAAGCAAAGAGTAAGCCTTAATGAAGAAATATACCAATTTCCATAAAATATGTTGGGAGGCAAACTATTTTCAGAAAGTTTAATGATCTTTTGTTTAGAACAGAAAGCAAAATTTGAACCATGTTATATCTGGTCCTGGCTGAAATGAAGCAGGAAAACTGTCTGTTGTCAGTGTTTCTAACTTAATCTTAAAAAGAGAACAGAAACTATATTCCCTCGGTTGGATAAAAAATTAAAAAGGACTAGTTACAAGAAATGAGAGAAAGTGCCGAGAAACAACGCCGAGAAACAATGTCGGAGAACTGCAGACTTTCTGCTGCGCTAGGTAAGATTGAATCAAAGCAACAGAATACCAACCTGTGCTTTATCCGGAGCACTGTTTGCGTTTTCTGAGTTCACGGTCTCTGACCGTTTCCTCTTTCTTTTTCTAAGAACTTGGTTGTCGGTGATGTCATCTGTCTGCAAGATCTTCTGCATTTTCTCAATTAGTCAGCCAAGGCTTTCCGAAACCGTTGAAGGCAGAAACGCCCATGTAGGTGCTGCTGTTCTGCATGCGGTTCGTGCTTCTCCTTAAAAACAAAAACAACACAGAGGGTGCCTCAGTTTATGGTCTGCTCGGGTGAGCGGCTTCCTCGGAAGGTGCCACGCTGTTGTCTTTCTCACTAACCAACTTCCCCGCACATTTTCACTTGACTCAAAAACCTTCAGCTTGGTGCTGGAGAGGTGGCTCAGTGGTTAAGGACACTGTCTGCTCCTTCAGAGGTCCTGAGTTCAATTACCAGCAACCACAAGACAGCTATGGTATACTCATATACATTAAATAAATAAATAAAGTTTTAAAAAAGAGAATCCACTCCAAGGCAAGGGATTGATACATAGTAGCAGGTCAGGCCCAGCTAGTTGGCTTTAAAAATGTCCAATAGTGTAAGAACAATTTCCATCTGTCGTTCTTGTCAAGTGGCTATAAAGAATCTACAGTTTTTTAAAAATTATAGGTGTATATAGATATTATCACACAGAACTGAAGTTATGTACTTCTAGGAAAATATATTAATAATAGTCGACAATACCAGGGTTGAAGGTGGAAGTATTCTCTGGAAATCACTGAGATTTGCTTAGAACTGAGTTTTGTCTTAAAAGGTGTTTTTCTTCCTGAAAACTCTTAAGTCTTACAATGGGAGGTTCCCCTTGTCCAAAACTAGCTGATTCTATCAGTAGGGTTGCAATGACGACATTTAGGTCTTATTTAATCTTCAGAGTATCTGCTTTAATTGGTTTGTTTTCATAAGCATTTAATTATAAATACTAAAACTGAAGTCAGATTGAGCATATGAATCTTCATAAAATATATAGAATATTGAGTACACAGTAATATTTTTTCTTATCAAATTACTATAAATGTATTAGCAAATGTACTACTCAAAATTTTTTATTCATAAAGTTCATAATAAAACACTGGAGTACAGCTTTTTGGAAGCTATATTTACTAATGTGACGAGTGACATTTTCAAGATAACATTATGGTTGGGCATAGTAGTGCACACCTGCAGTTCTAGCACTTCAAAGATGCGTGCAGAAGGGTTTCATGTTCAAGGCCAGCCTGGGTGACACCGTGAAATGTATTTTCTAAATTCCAAAGCAAAATAAAACATAAATATACAAAAAGCAAAAAACTGGATAGCTGGGCTGGAGAGATGGCTCAGTAGTTAAGAGCACTGACTGGGGAGGCAGAGACAGGTGGATTTCTGAGTTCAAGGCCAGCCTGGTCTACAGAGTGAGTTCCAGGACAGCCTGGGCTGCACAGAGAAACCCTGTCTCGAAAAACCAAAAAAAAAAAAAAAAAGAAAGAAAAAAAGAAAAAGAGCACTGACTGCTCTTCCAGAGGTCCTGAGTTCAATTCCCAGAAACCACATGGTGGCTCACACCATCTGTAATGAGACATAATGCCCTTTTCTGGTGTGTCTGAAGACAGCTACGGTGTACTCATGCACAAAATAAATAAATCTTTAAAAAAATGGATAGCATTTTGCTTAATTGAGGTTCAAATAGGATGTTTGCTCTCATAAAAATAATTGCAAATGTTCTATGTGTTTTTGCATGCATGCGTGTGTGTGCGCGTGTGCATGTGTGTGTGTATGTATGTAACATGCCACAGTTACTGGGTTCAAAGGATTGAACACAGGTTTTCTGGCTCATGTGATTATTTGGTTTTTTAACGGCTTCCATGGACTGGGTTGAGATGGACTCTCTTTTTAGCTTTAATTTGCATTTCTCTGATGGCTGGTGAGATTTAACATTTTTTTTCACGTGTTTAATGGAACATCTGTTCATTTTACTTCCCCCATTATTAATGACTCTGTTTGGTTTCTTGTTTGAATTTTGATGTGGATTGCACTGACTCTGGTAGACAGCCATTTTCGCAGTATTAATACAGCATGGGGAGGCTCTCCTCTGGGCTTACCTGCCCAGTGTTCTAAGCCTCGCCTCCTAAGTGCTGGCTTTACAGCGTGAGCCACCAAGGGCCAATACTCACCTTTTGTACAAGCTCATAAGGAAAGTTTATATTTATGTATTTCTTCTTTTGTGATATCTCTCACACTGATGGAAACTGGTATATGTTGATACCAACCTAAAAGCTAATGAAAATTTAACTTGAGAACAGGTTAGGGAGAAGTTCCTCTGTGGGCCAGTAAAATGGATTTTGATATTGGGAAAAAGAAAGAGTGCCTCCAGATTATTTTGGTGAAGCCAGCATTATTACACTCGCAGCCAAACCAGATAAAGAAATCACAAAAAGATAAAATTATAAAACAATCTTTCCAGTGAACAGAGGATAAAACTGTCAACAAAGTACTTGTAACCGAATTCAAGAATACATCAAGTTCCTCCACCATGATCTCTATGTTACTCCAGAGCTGTAGGGGATGGTGGCATGTATGCATGTCAATGTATGTATGTCAATGTATGTGTGTCAATGTATGTGTGTCAATGTATGTGTGTCAATGTATGTGTGTCAAT